CATTTCACGCTTCAAGAACCAAGAAAGACTCAAACAAACTCGCTCTCGCTTAATCCGCATATCTGGAACTCTTTGATTTGAACTACTCCGAATCCGGCGATGAACTCACATTTCGCCCCTGGGGGGACTCTTGCTTCTGTCTTCCTCTTTCTGGCATCTGGTGGAAATTCTCTCGATCGATCAGTTTCTTCTACTCTATGCCTACTAAAAGCTTAACCATGCCCTACCACCAAGAACAGATTCTCGCCATCTATTTAGAGGAAGAACTTATTCTTCAACAAAAGAAATCGCTGCTCCTAGTCCGACAGTTCGCTCTGCACCTTAAGAGAAAGAGTTCCGGTATACTACTCTATTATGATACCGGGGGAATATCACTACTTTGAGAGTTAGGCCTTTATTCTGCTGTGCCTGGTCATGAGTATACTGCTTTCCTTAAACCTATGTAGTGAGTCGTGTAGGTGGCGTGTTGAAATTAGGACCATAGATTGGGCGACTTTTCTCCTCATCGCTAGCCTGTTTCCAAGAGCGGGAAGAGAAGGTCTTGCAAGTTGGAGAGCATATGAGATTTATCCATCGCAGCATTGCATCTATCGACTGAACAAAGTAACTTTCAAAGTGGACTGGGAAGGAATGCGAATAGGTATTTCAATTGTTGGACTAAATGAATAGGCAAGGAAGACAAGGCACTTGACTGAAAGGTCCTACCCGACTCATTCTTAGGACAGGCTTAGCTCTAGCTATCTAAAATTAAGAAATTGTACAAGGGAGAAATCCTATTTCACAAAGTAACTTCTCAAAGGTCGAAGGCGTAGTATCGATTGCTTGTGTTGGACTACCTTTATAGGATAGATCTGATATACTGTTAGGTTTTGGTTGGACTGCTTTGTACGGAATTCACTTAGATTGACTTTAGATATCGCATTTCCGGTATAGCATTTACTGTTCGAGATTTCCGGTATGTAATTGACTCGTATATAAAGAAAGAAAGTCTTTCAATTCCTAGTTCGATATTCCAGATATTCCATTAGAATGACTGATGTTGGACTAGCTGACTCCCTAAGCTTTGCCGTATTGCATTAGAAAGTGGGGAATTCCATCGTCTTTGGTATGCGAATTTCAAGCTACTACTGCTCCGATAGCTGCTTTAGAGGTTGCTTAGCCGGTATCTGACTGAACTAGCTGGTTTAGATTTCATTAGTTGAAAGTCTCGCACTATTTACACTATTTCAACAAAGACTGTGTAAAATGGATATGATATAAGGGAAGGATTGACCTATTGGTTGACTTCTCAATTGAGAAAAGACTGGAATGAAACTGGCAATGCTCTCTTCGGTTTTCATCCGGTTGGCAATCCTATCTTCGGTCCTAGCTGAGTTCTGTCTTAGCTTTACGGCAAAGGGATAGGCTTAGCCTATTGAGTGGGGAGAGCTAGGCTGCATTCACCATCGAATAACGGGTTAAAAGGCTACTTTCAGATCTCTTTCCCTGTAGTCGTACTATGACTTTCTGAGGGATTGAACTCTAGTCGTACTATTCGATATCATCTAGCAAAGAAGTCGGCTATGGGCAAGACTTGGGGCGGGCCACCAAAGCGGGTTTAACCGGTTAGAGCTCAAGAGAATCGCTTCACGCCTTGCTTGCAAGAGCTAGACAGCAAAACCATTCCTAGCAACCATTGCTTTCGAAAGAGCAACCATTTCAGGGAACATCTACTTGAGAATTTTCTATAGTGAAAGCCTTTTTTCGAGATTTGAAACTCCTAAGAAATCTTGCCTTCCTCTGCTACCCCGGGAGAGTGAGTTTGTATGCCTGTTGGGTCTTTTCCTGGCTTTCTCACTAGGCAAATTATCAAGTCGATGCTCATATAACTGCATTTTGATACTCTCACTTTTCCCTTCGATGAGCTGATCTTGAATTGCAAAAGTGATAGCTTATATAACTGCATTTTGATACTTTTTTGAAGACGAGAAAGAGTTAGCCTTAAATGTTCGGTCTTTCATTTCAATAAGTAGTCAGCTGCGGGCTAAGAGGCCTCGTAGTCAGACTTCACATTGATTGAAGCAGCTGTTGGAGAGAAGGCATCAATATAACCTACAATTACCGGGTAGTATGCAACGGCAGTTTTCAATCATACAATATGTACTCGTAGTCTGACTTTTAGCGGTAGTCAGTTGTCCTCGTTCTCCTCTTTGAATTGCCCTATTGAGTAAGGGTCGGGTCGGTGTTTGCAAAAATGTCGAGCCGACGGGGTCAGGTACCAGTAGTGACAATGGCAAAGGGGGGAGCAGGACACTCTAAGTGCTAGAATTAGATCTAACCGTATCCGGTCTTTCGAAAGAGAGTAAGCTCTTTTGTGAGAGTTCAGAAGAAAGATTTGCTAGCTGTGAAATCATCTGCCCTGCTGTAAGAAAGGTAATTGCTTTCGTAGCAGCTCAACTAGTAGCCGGTGTAAGCAATTGAATCATCATAAGAGTGAAGTTAGCTGGGCTAGGGCTGTCATCCCTCCCCTTGGATGGCCTAGCTGTTGGAAAAATAAGAGCTGTGAACGTAGGAACTGTTGGCAATAACCGTTGGTAGACTTCTTGTTTCCGGTGTAGATGTTATCAACTCGGTAAGGCGAAGAACAACCAAAAATTCCCGATAAAATGAAAGATTTCGATTGATTAGTTAAATCGGATTGATGGACAGATAATGGCATTGATGCCATAGAAGAAGCTCCTGGTGGTTCAGTCAGGTAATCAGTAACCGTTGCTACCCTTGCTCGAGTTTGGGTAATTGTGAAATAATCCGCTGCTCTCGTCAACCTTGCTTGGCTCTCTCCTGTTGATTATGCCTGCTCTGATGGAGGAAGAACTGCGCTTAGAAATGTGAACGTAACCTTCACTATTTCATCTCCGGCTATTGAGCAAAGTGGAAGAACTGATTGCACAATTGAAAGAATAGGCTCTAGTACTAATGACTTAACTGTTGATGGAAGGAACTTCACTCAAAGCTGGGGAAGGAAAGGAAGGGTCAATTTCGTAGATAAGAAGGGCGTCGTTAGCAGGATAAGGGCTAGACAGATATTTCATTAAGAAAGAGATGATTCGCCGATGAACTCTAACTATATCTAGCGAGTGTCTCCGTCAGATACACTCTTCGTGGTTAAACAATAGAATTGAGAAAATATCGTTATAATGAATGAGGAGCGTCGTCAATTGGTCAATTCATTTTTTTGAGAGTTTGCTGCTTCAGAGAATCGAGATTGAGTTGGTGTTAAGTAAGGTACAAGATTGAAAAGAATTCTTTTGCATTCCAAGTGCAAAATCCCGTTCATTTCTTGGTTAACAGCCAAGCTACCCTCATTAAGTAAGATTGTTGGTCTTGCTAAAGAGAAGCTTAAGCTACCTAAACAAAGATAAGGGAGCACGACACGACTATTTTATTATTTTCGGATGCAACCGGAACAAGATTTTTTGATTCTCTACGGGCAACCAAGCCCGAGTGAGCTTTCTTTTATGCTATCCCAAGAGAC